CATAGGTGGGAAGTAGGCATGCAGTCCTGGAAGATTTCCCAGAAACAAAGTTAGCGGTAAGTGTAACTGGTACTTTTCTCTAGTCATCTTCCAGGACAGTACACCTGAGACGAGAAACAAGGAAATCAGGCCTACCTTAGGGTGGGACAACTGCCTCTAATACTTCGTTGCAGAATGCCAGCTCCTGAGATGACAACAAATCTAACCTGTAGTGTCTCACGAAGGTCTCCTGGCTTGTCCATGTGGCTGGTCAGCAGACCTGTTCAATCAATGCTCCGGCCCTCTCCACCCAAGAGGTCGCAAGTGATCTAGTAGAGTGAGCCCTCAGGTGTAACGGAACTGAAACCCCTAATTGCTAATAAGCTAAGGAGATGGCTTGTCTGATCCATCTAGCTATTGTTGGCTTATAGTGCCTTGAAAAAGTATTCATACCCCTTGAAATGTTCAATATTTTGTCTTGTTACAACCAAAAATGTAAATGTATTTTATTGGGGTTTTATGTGATAGACCAACACAAAGTGGCACATAATTCTGAAGTGGAGGAGGCAAATGACAAATGGTTTTCTAAATTTTTTACAAATAAATATCTGAAAAGTATGGCATGCATTTGTATTCAGCCCCCTTTACTCTGCTATCCATAATTAAAATCTAGGGGAACCATTCGCCTTCAGAAGTCACCAAATTAGTAAATAGAGTCCACCTGTGTGTAATGTAATCTCAGTATAAATACAGCTGTTCTGTGAAGAATGGAAGGAAAATGATAAATGGTTTTCAACATTTTTTACAAATAAATATCTGAAGAGTGTGGCATGCATTTGTATTCAGTCAAGACAAAATGTGGAATATTTCAAGGGGTATGAATACTTTTTCAAGGCACTGTAGATGCTTGCTGTCCCTTCCTTGGGCCACTAAACAAAATCAGAAGGTGACTCGACTTCCTGAAGTCACTTACTCTATCCAAATATGTCAGTAAACATCGCCTGACATCTAAAAATGAAAACTTTTCCCTCCCATTCCTAGGGTTTTGACAGAAAGACGGTATTACAATCACCTGTGTCCTATGAGACCGTGAGGCAACCTTGGGCAAATAAAGAGGATTCTGTATAAGCACTACCCTATTCTCATACCACCAGGAAGGGTTACTGGATAGACAGGCTCTGAAGGTCGCCTATCCTCCTTTCTGAAGGCTAACTTAAAAGATAAAACCCTAATAGAAATCTGAGCCACTGGCTCAAATGGTGGCTTGGTTAAAGTTTTTAACACTAAGGTCAGATCCCAAACCAGAAAATTATGCAACATAATGGGTGGTCACCCTTTCCCTGGCTCCCAGAAACCTCTTACTAGGGACTCCAACACAAGTCTCTGATCCAAAAAGACCAATAAGGCTGCCACATACACCTTTAGGATGCTTACTGCTATACACCTTTATCCACCCCTGCTTGGAGAAAGTCTAGGATCACTGGGACCATGGGAAGAGAAACCCCCTTCTCCTGACACCAACTAGAAAACACTCTCCACACTTTGGCGTATATTTTTCTAGTGACCTGCTTCGTACTGAGGAGAAAAGTGTCTATCACCCTCTCAGAACACCCCCCTTCTTTAAGAGAACAAACTCCGTATTGGAGTGCAGAGTTGGCCCCTGCAAGAGAAGATCCCTCCCGACAGGCAGAGGCTGCAGGGGAGCTACGGACCACCTCTTCAAAGTGGCGAACCAGGCTCTTCTTGGCAACCATGGAGACAGCAAGATCAGTCTGCAACTTGACCGAATAAGCTTCTGTAGTACCGGCAGGATCAATGCCAGAGAGGGGAATGCATATGCCAAATCCCAGTCCTGCACTAACGCGTCCAGACCCTCAGACCCCTTCTCCTTCCTGTTTCCCCTTCAGGCAAACAGATCTATTTCCGGGCTGCCAAAAACCTGACTTATCTGAAAAAGAAAAAAAAAAAAGACCTTGGGGTTGAGTTCCCACTCCCTGGCGGATTAATTTTCGGCTGAGAAAATCTGCTTACATGTTGGTCAACCCCTTTATGAAAACCAACAAAACTGAAAGGACCCTGCTCTTTACCCATCCTAGAATCTCCTACACTAGGTCCAGGATCTTCTGGGATCTGGTTACCCCGATGATTCAAGTATGCCACTGTCGACATACTGTCTGACAGAATTGGGACTTATTTTCCACCGATCCTTCAAGGCCTGACCTACTGCTAGCAGCTCACTGCAATTGGAAGAGGTCCCCCTTAGGTGTGGCGCCCACAGGCCCTGGGCTTGTTGTTCCTCTAGATCAGCTCCCCAACCTCACTCGCTTGCGTCTGTGGTTACCTGAACTTGGTCCCACTGTGACCATGATAAAAATAAAAGAAAGATATTCCTGCTCCAATACAAATTAAGTGAATCACCCTTCTAAATTGCTGCTGTGCAAAAAATGTGAATACACAATGAAATATATAAATAAACAGCGCAAAAACAGACCTAAAATCAAATATTAATTGATATCTTGAGAACGCCCGATGGGAGGGGTGAAACGCGTTGACGCATTTCCGGTTCATTCGCCTTAAGTCTGACGTCACTTCCGGTGAGTGGAACGCACGCCGAGTGGTGCGTTCCAGCGGCCATTTTGCGGGATTTAGGTTGGTTCTCTGTTGTTCCTCTGCTCCATCTGGCTACATTGGTGTGGGAACCCTGGAGTATGTTGGCTGGTTTTGATCATCAGGCTGTCATGGGCTTAATAAATGTGCCTTTTACAAGCTATTGAAATGTGAGTGGCCTGGATTCTGTTCGTTATGGTATAAGATTGATCTGGCAATATTACACTATGTAAGTTTTTCTCTTTGATGATACGGTGGAGCAAACTAGGGAGCCACGGTGAGGACCTGAAAGAGGATCTCATCTTGGAAAGGCTATCATTGAGCTGATGAAAAGAGGGTATAGGATTCCCCATAAAATCCTTAAAAGCTTTTCATTCACCAAAATCTGGCGAGTGTATTTGATTTTGGTGTGCACGGGTGAAAGGTGGAAGAAAAATCTATTTGGAGTTCGTATTTCTCACCACAAGGGACTTTATGGTGTTTTTTTCTTGAAAATGTTTTCTGATACAGATATGCACTAATTGATATGGGACATTTATATTTTGTGATTTATTAATATTTGATTTTAGGTCTATTTTGCGCTGTTTATTCATATATTCCACTGTGACCATGGTCTTCCTTCCCCCAGATTCTGGGACCTGAGCCACCACCCCAGCAAGGTCTTTACATTCTCTGGGAGAGAAACCCACCCGTCCAGCGACTCCACTTTCCTGCTCCAAGAGGATAAAAGGAAGAATTGAGGCTTCCTGGAATGTAACTGTACCCACTCTATGGTCAGAATAAAGGCTGCCAGGCTCCTGAGTCCACACTCCCCAAGGTTATTTCTGGGGGCTCCTCACCGGCCTCATGAGGAAGGGAACACTGACTAGCACCGCCATCTTTACGGCGGAAGTCCCGCCTTACCTGGAAGTCTGACTGAGAACGAAGCTTGGTCCGCAGCCTCACTCCCCTTCCTATCCTGCGCCCACGGACTGTGGGTTCTCAGTTGACTGTCCACCAGCCCTAGCAGAGCTATCAGGGAACTCCACCGCGGCACTCCTGCCTGCCTACGGGTGCACGCCACGCAGTTCTCGGCCAGAGTTCCCACAGCACCCGCGAGATAACCTCACAGCCTGGTCCTCTTCTGTCTGCCTTCCGGCTGCCAAGAATGAAGGAAGAAGGGCGCTCGTCCCCGGAACACGAGGCACATCTCCCCTGTGCCCGGAAGGCTCCTACGTGCTGGGCCCCTGGAGTGGGTGAGTGACCCCAGTTCACAGCCTGCCCTCCACGGCTCAGCTGCTTAACTCCCCAGGGGGAACCTTCCAGTCCCAGGCCTTAGGTTTCCAAAAAAGAAAAACATTTTGCTGCCAGGGAAACAATTGAAAACTGAGGAGTGGAGGGAAGGGGGGGAATTTAAAAAGTTTTTTTTAAGCCAGTGTGCATGAAGCCTTAAAGCAGAAATCGGGGGAAAAAAATGTTGCCGTCACAACCCCACTGTACAGGTCAAACGCTCATTTTTTTGTTTTAGGGGAAAGGACACCGAAGATATACTCACCTGACCCACCAATCCTCCCCACACATGACCGTTCCCCTTTCAACTCCTGCCAGACCCCCCACCCCCCTGTGGTCCAGTGGTTTTGTGAATGGGCTGTTCCTGACATCAGCACACTCCACAGACAGGAACAGTCTAACACTAGACCATGGGGGAGCACTGTTTTCTGTAGGATCGGTGGGTCAGGTGAGTAAAACCTTTGTCCTTACCCCTAGAAAAAAACAAGCAGCTGATCCATGCAGTGGGGGCACAGCCCCACTGCGTGGTAAAAAAAAATTAACTGGAGTTCTGCTTTAAGGCTGCAGAGGAACACATTAATGACTAGTGCAGTATCTCTGAAAAATGCTGGACTATTAACTATGGGGATGCTGCAAAGCTAGTGTTAGGTTTCAATAGGTAGATGGTCACTTTCATTCATAAGCTGATAGGTCAGGGAAGGGGTGTGGTTGGGGGAGGTTAGGGGGTTGTGGCTTTACTGAGGGAACTCAGTGAAGAGCTGGAAATTTTTCTGCTGCACTGTATAGTAGAAGCACAAAAGCAGCTATGAATAAAGCAGAAGGGCAGGTTCGGTGTTAGGTTGCATAAATTTATTAGGAGTCAGTTTAACAGTTAAGGATGGGTTAAAGGTCAGGGACATCTATGGTCACTACGCAGTGTTTTGCAAGTTCTACACGGAAAACTGGATGAGGAATTCCCAGAGTCAAAATCTAAATCTGAATAATGACTATTCATTTAATTCAAAACTTAAAAAATTAACATTGCAAAGATGTATTAAGAAAAAAGTAATTAAACTGTATTATATTCAAAATAAGCAAATATAAAGTCCCCAATTCTTAACTTCAATATAGTGAATCAGTAGATTATTTAGATAATGGATTGATACTTACTTGGTCTTGTGTTTTGTACCACTGATGTGAGCCTCATACTGTGCTATAGAATTCACAACAATATTGCATATGTCACAGGTGAAACCGTTCCCAGCTGAAAGACACAGGAATAGCATGCATTTATTATGATGGGTATCCCTAACGTAAAGGGCCACAATGCGCAAGACATCTCATGAATTGCGATGCTTCCGACTCCAACTGCTATGCGGCTTTGAAATCATTCGTGGTTACCCATACTTATTATTGCAGCAAGGTTCACAAAAAGAAATATACGGGTACAAAAGATAAGGATCGCCAGGTCTGTACAGAACACAAAAGGCTAAGCTCCCTGAAAGCTCAGGGAGAAATAGAAAAAGCAGACACTTTTAAAAATATTTTTAGATGCTAAGGAAACGTTAAAATTCATCTGCTTTTTGCTGTTTGTCATTGGAGAAAATTTCCCTTAGCTTCCTACCCCATAAAAACACAACCAAAAGTGAGGGGACCTCTCTCCAAGGTGTGCAAAGTCCTTATCCCAGTAACAATGGTCAGGAGCACAAAGACAACGATACACCTCCATCCAAAATTTAAAAAAAAAAAAAAAAAAAAAAAAAAAGCATGACACACTTTTAAGTCCCATGTGTGATCATTTCAGTGTACCCCACACCGATTTGTTTTCTCAACATGTACACTTACCAATCCCAATATGCATGTTGGTTGTCTGACAAAATGTGTCAAATTATGTCAATATATGACTGTCCTCTATTGCCAGCCTAAGAGGGACCTAAACTTACATTTTGACTTTTAAAACTGAACTCCAGGCAGATATAATAGGAACACATTAATACAGCTCTGTATTCAGTAGTACATTATTCAGTGTATTTTTACTAAATACAAGGAGTTTAAGTACCTGAGTTTAACCACTTGCCTACCAGGCACTTATACCCCCTTATTTACCAGGCCAATTTTCAGCTTTTCAGCGCTGTCGCACTTTGATTGACAATTGCGCGGTCATGCAACATTGTACCCATATGAAATTTTGATCATTTTTTTCTCACAAATAGAGCTTTCTTTTGGTGGTATTTAATCGCCACTGGGCATTTTACTTTTTGCGCTATAAATAAAAAAAGTGCAAAACATTTGAAAAAAAAAAGTTTCTTTGTTTCTATTATAAAATTTTTCAAACAGGTATTTTTTCTCCTTCACTGATGTGCGTTGATGAAGCAGCACTGATGGGCACTGATAGGCTGCACTAAAGGGCACTGACAGGCAGTACTAATGAGGTGTCACGGATAGGCGGCACTAATATGCAGCACTGATAGGCGGCACTGATAGGTGACACTGATGATGGGTACTGATAGACGGCACTGACTGGCATCACTGCTGGGCACTGACTGGCACAACCCCTGGGCACTGACTGGCAGCACTGCTGGGCTGCACTGGTGGGTGGGCACAGGTGGGTGGGTGGTGGGTGGCACTGCTGGGCACAAGTAGGTGGCACTTCTGGGCACAGGTGTGTGACACTGCAGAGTGGCACGGGTGGGTGCACTGCTGGGCACAGGTGGGTAGAGCTAGTGGGCGCACTGCTGGGCACAGGTGGGTGGAACTTGCGGGTGGCACTGCTGGGCACCGATCATCAGGGCACTGATCATCAGTGCCCTGATGACCGGTGCCGATCCCCGCTCTGACAACTGCCAGTTCTCGGCAGTACTTTCCTCACGATCTGACAGCGAGAGGAAAGTGCAGCCGAGAACCGGCACTTGCATTTCCCTCTGATCAGCGTGTCACTGGACACCGCTGATCACGTGGTAAAAGGCCACTGTGATTGGCCTTTTACCACATCACGTGATCAGCTGTGTCCGTAGGACACAGCGATCACGGAGATCGCCGGGTGCGTGCCCCCTGGGGCGCGCAGGAGAGTGCGTTCTGGGAGGATGTCATATGACGTCCACTCAGAACTGGCCGGCCGCAGTGTAGCCGTCATTCGGCTATCTGCGGTCGGCAACTAGTTAACCTGACAACAGCCTGGTGCAAACCTCTTTGTAGCAGAGCCCAGACTGGAGAATAAGAAGTGGCACAAGCAGCCAACCAGTTGTGCTGCAGTGCAATGAGTTTCCTGTTAGGAGGAGAGAGAAGTGTGACAGAGATGAGCTCATTAGTCTGTCGATTCTCCTTTTACTGGCAAGTCACAGGCTGGGAGAAGCACAAAGCATGTTACTGAACTGCAGCAGATAAAAATTAGGTGGTTATTTACTAAAACTGGAGAGTGCAAAATCTGGTGCAGCCTGTGCATAGAAACTAATCAGCGTCGGGTTTTTTTTCCAAAGCCTAATTGAACAAGCTGAAGTTAGAAGCTGATTGGCTACCATGCATGGCTGCACCAGTTCTAGTAAATCTACCGCCAGGTCTCCTGCCCTGCTAAACTAGGCTGTGCTATCATACAAAAAAAAATTGGTATTTCACAAAATGGACTGTGACAGCAGTCTGTGTGCACATCCAGCAGTTATTACATCCCCCTCCACACAGCTCACGGGAACAGAGCTGAGGCTGTCAATCACAGCCTGTGCCCTCCCCTTCACCATATTTCTCTTGGTGTCAGGAAAACTTGTCAGAAGTGACTCATGCTTATAGCAGAGGAATGAAGCAGCAGACAAAAATGACTCTTAGTGCTCTGGATTGAGACAATCATACACTACGAGGGATATGCTTTGTTCATATTTCATGTCCGACGTTTACAACCACTTCAAGTCAAGAGGAAAGACTGCAATAGGCCATAGTGATCGTTTCCATGTAAGGACAAATGTGTCATTGCCTATAACTCTTGGTGAGACACCTACCCAGCTAGTTTGCATTGACAGTCTATTTTGTGAAATAATAAATGTTATTTGTATTATAGGGGAAAGCCTTGAAACCTACTTTTAACAGCTGAAACAAAAATTATACCCTGCTGGTATGCACTAGTGGCAAAAAAATAAATTATAAGATATGGTGTGATCTGTATGGACAGGCACTGCATTTGTGGCAAGGATAGATAAAAGTAAAGGTATCAATAAATGAGATGTTGGAGACTACACTTTACCAAACCTATGGTTTTTCTGCGGCTATGAACAACCATTGCATAAGCATTTTATAATTGAGAATGGATTTACTTGCCAAAGGATTTGTAATCCTTTTAAGCTAGGTTTGTAACCCGCCCCTAAAGAAGAAGAAAAATAATGGCTACAGCGCTGACTGCATAAATAATTTTAAGGCTATGGTACTGCTAGTTAAGCCAGGGATGGATAGGGCACAGTCATATGAATGAGAGTTCAATGTAAAAGTTAAAATAAAAGTCATTAAAGAGCTGGCTACTGCTCCCCTAAATCAGATTTTGAGTATACCTAATAGATATGTAAATATAAGAGAGTAGGCACCTCCATCTAAATGTAAACCATTTTATTAAAAGGAAAAAAAAAAAAAAAAAAAAAATATGTGCTCACTGTATGAGATTACATCAGCATATGTGGAGAATGGAGTCATCTGTGAAGCGGCTCAATCTTGCAGAGATTGACAGGCAAGTGGCAGTTCCAAGGTTCAGCAGGTAAGTGGCTGGTGTATGCAGTGTTCGGCCGGGAAGTTTGTGTTCTACCTGCCACCTTGACACTGCCTTATCTCCTCCATCCAGTAGCTTCCTGGCCAAACTGGACATATGCCCGCTGTTTGCCTGCTGATATCTGTACCTTGGAAAAGACGCTGGCCTGCCGATCTCTGCATGACTGAACTGCTCCAAATTTAAAACACACTGCCCGAATCTGTCATGCAGTGAGTGAATAAATTTATTTTGTTTTTAATAAAATGGTTAACACTTAGATGAAGGCACCCTTTCTTGTTCTGATTTGTAACCCACCCCTGCCTGGCAGAAAAGCCAGATTCTTGACTGACCTCCAAAAGCAGCAGAACAGGTTGGACAAGAATACTCCCATACTACAGCAGAGCCTGACTACCTAAAGGGCCTCAGTTCACTTAGGTCTTGCATTAAGACATGAGTTTAAGGAAATGCAAATTCACTTTCAGCAGATTAAAAAAAAAAGTTCTCAGAAGCCTCTGATGCAATGGACAAGCCTGAGTGCTGCTAGAATGATGAGCAGAGACCGATATGAATAAATACAGTTCAGGTTCTTTCTCTGTAAGAATTTAAAACATAAAATTGTAATGGATTAACCTACTGCATTAATCTGCATTGTATTAGGACTGTCTAGAGTTTAGATTACAAAACAGGCGTTTGTTCAAGGTTTAAATTAAGAAAATAGGAAAATATTTTTTGGAGTTTGTTCAAAAAAAAAAAAAAAAAAAAAAAAAATGTATGCCTTATTGGGAGGAGTTGGGTGAAGTTTCCTGTGTTGACACCTAAGTCCAATAGTACTCCTGTACAAATTTAAAGTTGTGGCTATTGTGAATGTTGACAGCCTTCATCCACTGCTGTGCAAAATTTTATGAAAGCAGCACTACATGCTACAGTTTTTAAAAACATGCATGCTTTAAATGTGTCACAAATTGCAGCATTTAAGAAAATAGAGGCTAGAAAATATACTTTTATTATGGCTGCATAATCAAACGTTAACCACTGATTTTTCTTAACTGGAACCAGTAATTAAGATTTTCACAAGTAGATTTACCTTCACCTAAAGTGTTACTAAGCCCAAGACCCTGCATTCACTATATTTGGTCTTCCACAGTACATAGAACATGGAAATGCAATTACTTTAGTGAATATAAACTGCTAAATACCTTTTCGCATCAGCAGTATATAGCAGTCTTGTGACTTCTATCAGTGTCCGGCCAAGCACTGGTTAATCATGTAGTTTTCATTCTCCTCTGACTGTCCTATGAGGATGCATGACTCCTGACCCTCTGTCCAAACAGCGCTGCTGATTTGCCCACATGCACCCCCCCCCCCCCCCCCAAAGAAAAAAGTCTAGCAATGCAGAGTATGTGCAGACTTGCTACTGCTGCTCTGTACGATGGAATGGGGACAGTAAAAGAAGGGGAGGATCAGAGAAGACAGGTTCAAACAGCCTTTTTACACACTGTGGAGGATTACCCTTTTAGGTTTCACAGCAAGTTTAATAAGCATGT